CTGAAATCATGGCCTCACGGCAGAATCCTTTCATATCCTGAGTATTAATACCCAATAAAAGGTGACTGGTATGTGTGCTGTTTGCCTGGTGTGCCTATCACTCCCAGGGCTTTAATCCTTGGAGCCCCCATGGCTTGGGCTGGCTGTCATGAGTGTTGTGGAATTTGGAGGTACTGTGGCCTTTGTCAGCCAACAGACAGAAAGCAGAGGGCCCTGTGTCCCTGAAAATGCCAGATCTCATCCCTGGCCATCTAAGCTTTATGCAGGGAGGTTTTCAGATGACTGCAAAGTCTTCTCTTTACTTATTTTTCTGCACAAACTAGGGCATCAGGGGCTCCTGGGCCAGTTCACCAAGCACTATTTGGAGAGCCCTTAGGAAACATAGGCTTCCTGGTAAGATGGCTTTGATAGCAGGGAGCTCAGTTGGATAGGAATGAGGGAAAGGCACAGACCTGATGTGGGCTGCCCCCTATTCATCAGAGGGCTTCAGATGACATTAGGTGTATGTAGGCCGGCACCACTTCCTTACTGAGGTGCCAACAGTAAGCATATACACTGTGCTGGGTGCAGGCTATGGGGGACAGGCTGGGGAGGGCAATGTCATGTCCAGGATCCCCTAGAAGGGCTGAATCTGGATGAATAGGCATCACCCAACAGCTGACAGGGGTGAGACCTGCCAGCTTTGGGTACAAGGGCCCATCTAGGCAGCACCACTGCTCTTTGTGAGATTCTTTCAAAGAGATGAGAAAGCACCAATCACCGCTTTATGCCAGGCAGCTAGTGCAACCAGTGGGTCTCCCCAGCACACAGTCCCCATAAGTAATGAGACACCGCTTAAAAAACAAGCTTTAATCAACTTCATAAAAATTGTTCTTGTAATTGAACTTTGATAGGCCCACTTGCCCAGCAGGTTGCAGGTGATGGTTTCACATTTTCCAGGCTCAAGGGCAGGGCAGTCTCCTCTGCATGCCACAGGTGTCTGAGTGACAGTACAGACTCTTGATCAGCAGGAGGTAGGCGCAAATGGATCAGCTATTTAAAGGGTGGTGTGTGGCTCTGGCTGAAGAATACCTTCAACATCATCAGGGCCCCATGAGAAAATAAGCCCAGAAGATAGAACCTCAAATTAGAGAGCCCTGCAGCCCTCAACTGCTGCCACCTGGACTCAGGGCTAGGCTGAGGCAGTGAGTGCACTGAGTTTGTCAGGAAGGGCTCCCTTGTTCAAATCACATTGATAGGCACAGCTTCAGGATTCACCAGGACGCGGAGGAATGACCTGCCACAGCTCTGAATGATCCACCAATCCCTGGGCTCTCCAAGAACTGGTGTTTAACGAGCCCCTGAGGGGAAAGGCCACCTTCCACACACAACAGCATAGCACAAGCCCTTCCTCAACTACATCCTCCCCCTGGAGGGTAGGTGTGCAGGGAGTCCCAGAAAAAGAGGCGTGGAAGCCCAGGCAAACATGATGTCGACTTGGGGACATAATGAAGCACATGTCCCTTTTTAAAAAGAGATTACAGCAAAATGATAGGAAACTTAACAGTTGTGGCCCCTCAGAACGACAAGCCCCAGTGAGCATGCTTGCCAGCTTTAAGTCAGCTGCACCAACACAACATTCAGCAGGCAGTGCACACACCCAACAGCAGGGCCCCTCAGGCTGCTCTGAGCTGACTCCAGCTGCCATCACTGTCCACTGAGAAAGGCCAAGTGCCCTTTGGTGCATCTGTTGGCGTAGTGTCCTTTTTCACCACACTGGGAACAGTAGAAGGGGAAGGAGAGAGAAAAATACAACACCATTTTCAAATGTAATTTTCAACTAAGGCAGTACCCACCAAATACCAAGCTAGGGAGAACCCTGAAATTCTGTGGCAAGATTTCCTTTCAAACACAAGCAGAGGAATCTTAAGAAAGGTGCAGTGGTACAGAAACTGCAGCCAGCAAGGTCACCAGAGTGACCTGAGAGCCCAGCAAGGTGCCCCTTCAGCCTGTACCTCACCTGCACCAGACCTGGGCCTGCCTGGGAAGGACTCACAAGTGGGTAGCAGGATGAAGAGAAGTCCACGGCATCAGAGCTCTCGGCCCTCTCTGCACACAGGCCAGTCAGTCACTTACCTCTGAGCCAACGTCTGGGGCCTCCCTGAGGAGATGGGGGAGGGAACAACGCAAGAGAAGCTACCAGGCTCCTTCCCCAGCTTTGGGAGCCATGGCTATGGACACAGTGTGGGCTGTACTGACGCTTTCCTCCATTTTTTTTTTTTTAAAAATACTGCGGATTGAACCTGGGGGCACTTAACTACTGAGCCACATCCCTAGTCCTTTTTTATATTTTATTTAGAGACAGCGTCTTGCTAAGTTGCTTAGGGCCTCCCTAAATTGCTGAAGCTAGCTTTGAACTCTCAATCCTCCTGCCTCAGCCTCTAGAGCCTCTGGGCTTATAGGTGTGTGCCACTGTGCCAGGCTCCCTCCTGGCTCCTGCACAACTGTCTAAGCTACCCATGAGAACAGGTTTTAATCACAGGGTCAAAGATGGGACAATGATTAGACTTGGGTGAGTGGAGCTGATAGTGTCACCTCTGACACATGTAACACTGACCCTGATTTATATTGGCTGATTACCAGGACCTCCCATAGTGTCTCTATCCTTGTGAGACTTAAAACAGAAGGGAAATCTAAGTGAATGGCAACCTCAAGCATGAAACAAGAGACTCAAGAGGCATCTGGAGGGTGCAGATGCTAATCCCCATTCCCCACCCCAACTTTGTTCCCATAATCCCCACTCCCTGCTTCCCTGGTGTGCAACAATATAAAGGGGTTCTACTGTCCTTACCCAGTGCCCCTATTTATTCTGTTATCCTACACTGCAGTCTCATGTTTTTAAGATCTGTTTAATCTGTAGGTGCGACTTCATGGATAATTGGCCCTTACGCTAATATGATCACCAGAAAGCATAACCACAAGGCCCCACTCCCAGGACCTAGAACATCCATTGGTCTTCATAATTGTTCCCAGGAATCTAGGATTCCCATGAAGTATTTTTAATATTAACAGCATGAGCTGAGCGCAGTGGTGCACACCTGTAATCCCAGTGACTTGGGAGGCTAAGACAGGAGAATCTCAAGTTCTAGATCAGCCTCAGCAACTTAGTGAGGCATGCCTTCCACCCATCTTGCCTTTTCCAGATCTTTCCCTTTCCTTGCTCTTCTCATATCTTAAGGCTTAGGCTCAGAACTTTCCCCAGTGAGGCTTTCTCTGAATCCAGATACACTTTTCCTTGAGTGCTTTTAAGCACTTGCCTTCTTCAGCCCCAGGAATGCAAGTTTCTGCTGGACAGAGCAGCTCAAGGAATGCTTGGCTGCTGTGGCAGAGTCCTGGGGCCCAATCTTTCCTGAGGACAAGCTGGATGGACATTTTAAGTACATGCTCTTTGACTTAGAACTATCTCTTGCATACATGGATGCCAGTGACATCAGACAAAAGCTCACAAACTATACAGCACTGTTATTAGGAGCAAAAAAACAAATCGAATGCAATGGCACACACCCATATTCCCCATACTTAGGAGGCTCGGCAGGAAGACTGCAAGTTCAAGGATTGCCTCAGCTACTTAATGAGACCCTACTGCAAAAACTTCAAAAACTATAGTGGAGTAAAAAACATTCTTTCTGTTGTTTTTATTATTATTATTTTTGGTACTAGGGATTGAACCCAGAGGCACCTAACCATTAAACCACATCGGCAGTCCTTTTTTATCTTGAGACAGGGTCTTGCTAAGTTGCTTTTAGGGCTTCCCTAAATTGCTGAGGCTGGCTTTGAACTTGTGATCCTCCTGCCTCAGCCTCCTGAGCTGCTAGGATCATAGGAATGTGCCACCGTGTCTTTTTTTTTTTTTGGTTCAGGGGATTGAGTCCTGGACCGTGCACATGCTAGAAAAGTACTCTACCACTGAGCTATACCCCCAAGCCCCTTTTATTTTTTTTCTTTTGACACAGTTACACCAAGTTATCAAGGCTGGCCTTGAACTTATGATCCTCCTGCCACAGCCTCCTGAGTTACTTGGATTATAGATGTGCACCACTATATCCAGCTATGTTTTCTGAGTTTTTAAACATGAACTCATTCTTTGGAACTCTGTGGAGATTCTGTATGGCTAGGGTTGAGAATATACCCCTCAGAGCTCCTTCTGGGAGCCCGTGGTATACTCCAAGGAAGCCAATTATAGATTAAACTCAGTTTGTGACTTTTAGCTCTCACTAAGGATGTGAACACAGGCCCCAAATCATGTAAGGATCAGCTACCAACTACCTGTTCCCAAGGAATTGTTTCTCCTTTCCACCCACAGCCAGGAATGAGAAAGTTTTCTAGTAGATTTGTTTAAATTCACCCTTTCCCCGAGTGTCCCACTTTAGGTTAAGAGGTGTGGAGAGTGTGTTCCCAATCCAGTTCCTCCAGCATAGGCAAAAAGCTTTGTCCTATTCCCTTGAGTATGCCTGGATGCATGATCTAAGGATGCCTGTGGGGCAGACAAAGCTTCAAGGATCACTCTTTGTTGCATTTGTTGTTTCCATTTTGTTCCCTAGCACTTAAAGATCTCCCGTTTTCGTGCAAGCACAGTCCACTCATTTAGCAGCAATATTTTATTACCCTGCACTATGTCTTGATGTGTTGGAGGAAGAAGGATGGTCTCCACTATAGTGGCCCACCTTTATTTTTACAATCAGCAAAAACCAAAGTTTTCACTTTTCAAAAGTAACCAACCACACATCTAGGGAAGGAGGGAATGGTCAATGACCTGAGAGAAGACCCCACCCTGTCCCCAAGTCCTAGGACTCACCTTGTAACAAGTGACCTGCTCCAGCGGCCGGGGTCCCCGGTTGCCTGCACTGCTGTTTTGACTCTGCATGACCCCGATGACCTGCGGGGCTCTCTGCTGATTGGGAGAAGAGTTCTGACTCGTTAACTGGATCAAGGAGGACGACCTTTGTAATGGCGGATTGTTACTTTGCTGGAAAGAGTTACACAACACGGTTTTACTGTGGAAAACACGTGCACGCAGACTACCAATGGGAACAGGAAAAAAGGGCGGGACTGCTCCCGCATGACCAGCAGGAAGAGGGCTTCCGCGATGGCCCAGCTCAGGAGTGGGCAGAAAAGAAACTTGTGGTGATGATGGCAGGAGCTGCTGCCCGAAAAACACCATGCAGACACACAAAAACGAAAAATAAAAGTAGAAAACAAAACACCAAAGAGACAAGAGGAGGTCTCTGGGGCAGTAGGGCGAGGGCATGATCAGGCCTTACTTTTGTTTCTGAGGTTCTAGCTTCAGGTCAGGATGAACGCTTGGTTCAGCCAGATGTTTAGCAGCCTACACGGCGAGCAACAGTCACAGAAAAACAGTTGGAGCCTGACATGCTGACCTGTGTTCTAGGGGCTGAGAGGGCCTTCCTCTAGAGAGTAGCAAGAAGGAAGGGGATGGAGGCTCCTGGGACAGGGATTCCTCAGCAAGGCCACCTCTCAACGAGGTGGGTTCTTGGCTCTGGCCCTCTAAATGCAGGACCCAAGCTAGGAACCTCAGGCTGTCCGCTGAATTCCTGCCCAGGAATTCCTGCCTTTCCTAAAGGTGGGGATCAATGGAGGCCAAGTGCAGTCACATCCCCTCATGGATGCTCAGCTCATGACAATGAAGAAGAATGGGAGGGGCTTTGGCAACTGACTCAGAGCCCAACCAGGTAGGAGGTGAGGCTTCAAGATTGGCAGACCAGTTTACACGGAGGGCCTACTGGAGGCCCTGCCTAACACCTGGGCCAGCCCTTCCTCTGGGCCCAGTCCCCCACTCTGGTAATCAAACCCACACAGCCCTTGATTTTGGGGGGCTGCTGTAGATCCTCATTTGTTGATGGCATTTCCTTCTCTCCCTGTGCTTGAGGGGACCAACAAACTGCACTGTGGGCCTGAATAGACAACTGGAACCAGCTAGTCCTTCAGCCCTATTCTTGGTTGGAACCTCCAAGGAGCAGCAATGTTACTGGCCAAAGAACAGTTGGCCTTGGTTGTGCTACTTCATCAAGCCCCTTCCTGCTGGTGCCCCTCAGGTAAGTCTTTCTTTAAGAGCCCACTTTCCCCATTTAAAAGGGAAGAACAGAAACAAGAGCAGGAGATGTGGGCCCAGGCCACCCTTTACCCAGCTCCCGAGGCAGGCACTATGGAGCTGCAGTGGCACCTTGTCACATTCTCACAGTGACACACAATCTTGTTTGCCATCCTGCTCTTGGCCTCATGTTGCTGAGGTTCTAGGTTTGAGGCAAGGGATGAGGCCAAGTGGGAATTCAGCTCTGGCAGAAGCTCTCCATCTCTAGGGAGATATGTGAACTGCTCTCCCTGATTTTTCTGCTAGAACTTGAAGGCACTTCCCTTCTCTCCTGCCTCCTCCCTCACTCTCCTCTCACAGGCCTCCAGCTGGGACTATAGCATACTGTACACTGCAGACTACACACCGAAGTGGCACTGAGTTTCTCTCTGCAGGACCAGCATGGCCAAGGAGGGGCGGGGGCACGGTACCTTTGTTGGAGGCTGCGTCTGCTGTGGCAGTGGGGGCTGCTCAGTGGTTCCCATAGGCAGTTCAAATCGAGGGCTGGTTACCCGGCAGCCAGAGGGATTGAGAACAGAGAAGAAGGTACGAGAGGAGACAGGTCAGGTTGTGCTAGGAAAACTGCACCGAACCTCTGCCCAAGCAAAAGCAACGCAAATCGCTTAGAGGCAGCAAGTCTGGCACTCAGCAATGCCTGTGGGAAGCCACAGAACAGCAGGAAAAACAGAACTGATGGGCCTTGGCTCAGACCCAGCTCTACCTATGCAGAGCTAGGAGACCTTGGGCAAGTGCTGCTCTGAGAAAGGTAAGCACAGGCACACCTGGAGTATGCCTGCTGTGGAAGGGCTGTGTGCACAGAAGGCCCCTTCCCCAAAGAATCTGTCTGGAGTGTCCTAATAATGTATAGGACCTCTTGGTGACATGCTCACCCTGTAAGCATTAGTTCCCAGACCATCTGCAGGCTCATGGGTGCTCATATAGGGAGCGGATGCCAGTGACAGCATCAGCTACCTGCACACAGACAGGGGCCAGGGTCCCCAACAACCAGTAACTGTGCTCTTGCTGCAGGTTCAGCATAGTGGTCAGAGGCAGCATGGGCACTCTGCAGTCTTAACATCACCTCATGCAAAAATCCATCCCTAAGTAACAACTAAGTGAAAGAAATGTACTAGGAACTGGGTACAGTGGCACACACCTGTTATCCCAGCAGCTTGGGAGGCTGAGGCAGGAGGATTGTGAGTTCAAAGCCAGACTCAGTAACTCAGCAAGGCTCTAAGCAATTTAACAAAACCTCTCTCTAAATAAAATACAAAAAAGGGCTGGGAGGGCTGGGGTTGTAGCTCAGTGGTAAAATGCTTGCCTCAGCACCGTATATAAATAAATGAATAAAAAAAGGTCCATCAACAACCAAAAAGCAAACAAATAAATAAGGTGTGAGGAGGTACTGGGATGTGGCTCATGGTTAAGTGCCCCTGGGTTCAATCCCTGGAGGAAAAAAAAAAAATACACTGGGCTCTAAAGGCCAAGGCAATGACCCTGAAAAAGTGTCACTAACCCCACTGGGCAAGAAGAATCCAGCTTCAGGGGCCCACAGATCTGTGACCAGGTATCACCACATGCTACCATGTGCTCTGGCCAGTGACTGAGCCCTGAACCCCAGGGTTTTCAGGTGGGAAGTGAGTACCATCTTTCCCACTTGCCAGAGTTATATGAATTATTTCATATGGAACCACAAGACAGGACCTACACAAAGAAGGCCCTGAAACTTTAATTCCCTTCCTTTAGGACACAGGTTCCTAAGGTTTTTTTTTTAAGAGAGAGAATTTTTTTTAATATTTATTTTTTTTTAGTTCTTGGCGGACACAATATCATTGTATGTGGTGCTGAGGATCGAACCCGGGCCGCACGCATTCCAGGCAAGCGTGCTGCATTCCAGGCAAGCACGCTACCACTTGAGCCACATCCCCAGCCCTCCTAAGGTTTTTTTTTTGTTTTTTGGGGTTTTTTTTTGGTGCTGAGGATGGGTCTCACACATGCTAGGCAAGTGCTCTACCACTAAGCTATATTCCTAGCTCTTACCTGAGGTCCTTAAACCCCCTAAATCATAGCTTATGTGAGAATTTTTCTGGAGCACAGGGTCTGGAGAGCCTTCATCAGATTCCCGGAGGGCACAGGACCCATGGAAGATTAAATGCTGGCCTAGGCACAGCTGATTTTATGCTCCAGAAGCAGCAGCGGTCGTAAGTAGTAATTTCCTCCCCCATTTCCCACTCCTGCCCCAGGCCCTGGTGCTGACATCACCCAGTGACCTAAGCCCAGCTGCAACCAGGAAGGACAAAGGGGCAGCAGCAGGGCTGGGGCCAGGGTACTCACTGCATGAATTTACACGAGGGCCCCTCCGGGCAAAATCCCACGAGGTAATTCACACAGATGACTCTCCGCGTGTGCCGGTGCCTGCACAAGGGACCTGCAGAGCCCAATGTTTGGGTCACTCAGATGCCCCCTCTGTGGGGGATACCTTGGTGTCCCTGCTAATAGTTAATAGCCCCACCCAGACTGCCTGGGGTACAGAGAACCAGAGTGTGGCTTCACAGGCTGGCTTGGGTTATCATTCATAGAGGACAACAGGCAGAAAGGCCTCTCTACACTGGGCTCCTCATTAAAACTGCAGGCAAGAATGCCATCCACACAGCCTCTTTGGGAGGCCTGAGGGAAAGGAGTAGTGTGAAAAAGTTTCACTGACCACAGAATTCAGGTTTCACTGGGACAGATGGCACAGATGGAGTTATGTCCCAGGAGCACCAGCTGGCAGCCCTAGGGTGATGTGGGCAGAGGGAGGGGTATGGCCTTTTTCCTGGGGCCAAGCCCAGCCTACCCCAGCACTTACCATGCTTGCAGAAGCCACGGTCATACCAAGGGCAGTCCTTGATCTTGGACTCAGGGTCGATGTGAAGGAAGGGGCACTCCTTATTGCTGCACTCCCCTGTAGGAAACCCAGACATGTGGCCTCCTAGAACAGTGCTACGAGAGTTCCCAAGGCAAAGAGGGCCCAAGGGGGTCCAGTGTCCAGGCTTGGCCTGGCAAACCCTGAGCCCAGGGCAGAATTTTAGTGGGGCTGTAACAGTTTTTCCCTCACATGCATCATTGCTGCTGAGAGGGACAATGACATCAACAGAGCCTGGCCCAGGGCAGGCTCTCATCAAAATCCATAGTTCTACCCTTCCCAGAGGTCAGTGTAGCAATTCAGATATGCAAATGCACCTGAGACTAGGGAATTCCCATTCTACTTTGATCAGCTCTTCCCATCTATGAGCTGGGATGGGGGAAGGTCTAAGGAATTCTAACTTTTAGGATAAACACAGGGAGGATCTGGGAGCTCAAGGCTGTGTCCATGTGGTGGCATGGGATAAGCCTAGATGATGACACCACACGTAGACTAGTGCTTCTCAGAAGTAACCAGCCCAGCTGGCCCCCGGCACCAGGACATACTGACTTTCCTGGCTGACCACCCGCTCACCTCCAGATCTGCTCTGCAACCTATGTTAACCCTTGCTTACGATCAAGAGGACATTTAAACTCCTGCCCCGGCCCACCACAGGCTTAGGGACCCCCTTCTCAACCACTCTGGTTTCCTCTGCTGCCCAAGATGAATCCTTCCTACCCTCCAGTTGCCAGCCCAGGACTCCTCTTCAGAGTCCTTCCCAGGTCTCTCTGCCTGAAGTAGATTCCATGTTGGTCTCACCACTGCTCATTTCCTTCCCAGCACTTTCCATAAAAAATTTTCTTCCTTGTCTCACTGGCTTATCAGCTGCCTTTGTATCCAACCCACTGAAGTAAAAACTCATGGGGCAAGGACCAGTCTGTCCTCTTTATCCCTTTATGTATAGGGGACCCCAATACACATTTGTGGACAAGTGACAGAAGTTGCAGGTGATGTGTCTGCACCAAGGCAGGAGCTACAGGGAATAGGCAGGCAGAGGGGATTTCAGAGATGGGCCCAGCAGGATGGAGGGAACCTCAGGCCAGCCTGCAGAGACATGCCCTCAAGGGAGAGCTCTGGGGCCAGATGGGAGGCTCAGCCCATTTCCAGCATTGCAGTGGGAGCCATGGGAAGCTGGGAAGGCTGCGTCCTAGTTCTGTCTGTCTGCTTTGACTTCATAGCTTATGCTGCCTCAACAAAACAAGCCACAACTATCATTAATAAGCCAGCAGCCAAGCCTGTTGGGATGCTGAAGTAATTAACATCTCCTCTAACAATAGTGCTTTGAAAGTGCAAAGCAAGCCCAGCACTCAGCTCGCTGCAAAGCCTCCCACAGGCTTCCAACCTCCTGCCCCAGCCCCTACATAGGGCCTGCAGTCCTAGGTCCAGAGCCAGCCCTCGTGCTGACCAACAGAGCTTCTTTCTGGGTCACCTTGAAGGTCAGAGCAGTCATAAACCCTGGGGACTAAGCTCTACACCAGCACCACTGCTTCCACTCTGTCCCCTGCTTCTCCACACAAGTCACTCAGGAAAGGTGAGGTCACATACTCTCTATGCAGAGCTCAAAGCAATCTGTTTTAAGGTGAAGAGTGGGGCTTACTGCCACCAGGAGACCAACTCTGAGGGCTGTGAAGATGGCAAAGATATTACCCCAAATCACATTCCCAGAGATAAGGCACCAACTTAGACCCAGGGGTGCTCAATGACCAAGCTGGATGGAGACATGGATTTCAGGGATCAGGCTACCAGGAACAGAAGCAAAGTCTCTGATCAGCTGCGCTGCTTATTTGCTTAATGGGACCCTTGTAAATCTCAGTGTCTAAAAGTACTCCAAACTCTGGAGCACTATAAAGACATGAGGGGCTATCACCATGATACCCCCTCACTACAGAGCCAGTTAGGGCTAGTAGGCACTGCCCAAGTTTCTCATCAGAAACTGGATATATGGGAGAAGGTAGAGATGCAGCAGGCCTTAGGGTCTGGGTTCTTGGTGCTGCCTCCCAGGGTTTCATGCGCCTTACCGAACTTGGAGTAGAAGTAGCACTCAGGCATCTTGGTCATATCATACTCATGCAGGAATTCACACTGGTCCCCTTTCTTGCACAGCCCCCGCAGCCAGTGTTTGCAAACTACTGTCTTCTCACCGCTGATGTGGCGAAATGGGCACATGCCCCCTGCCCAGGAAGAGGGGCCACTGAGTAAGGAGAGGTATGGGCTTGGGGAAATGAAGGCGCCTTCACCCCACACTTCTCTGAACCACTTGAAAGCAGCACACCCTAGGAGGTGGTGGAGGTGCCCCTGGCAGAAGGCAACGTGGTTTCAGGCACTATACCAGCAAACATTCTCTTTAACAGTAGTTTTAGTTGTAGATGGACACAAAGCCTTTATTTTATTCATTTATTTTTACGTGGTGCCGAGGATTGAACCCAGTGCTTCACATGAGCTCGCAAGCACTCTACCACTGAGCTACAACTCCAGTTCCCCAGCAAACATTTAACAGTTTAACAGCTCTGTATTTTAGTTTAAGGTGTTTTAGAAAAATATAACTGAAACATCAGATCAGGATTTCATAGATATTACTGTAAGATGAAGGTAAAACAGGCCTAGGTTGGGGTGGGGCTGCAGGGTCAGTTTATTCCTTAATTAAAAATAGTTCCAGTGGTACACTTATACAGGAAAATCACAGGGTTGGTAAAACAAAGACTGGGGTTTGAGAAACCCTAAAGGATAAAGAGGACCACCAAGAGAAGCCTAGAGTCCAGATAGGAGTTGTCTCCTGTTAGAAATGCTCACTTTTAAGCCTCCAGATCAACTTTAAAATGGAAGAAATTTAATATATGCAAATGAGGGGAGATGTCCTTCTGCAGCAGGACCTGTACTGCCCAAATGTGATAGAGTCATCTTCGGGGAATGTCAGACATAACTAGTATCCTAGCAGGACCACAGGGAAGGCCCAACAAGAATGAAGCTGTAAGCAGGAAAGATCTATGCTTGCCCGTCCAGTAGAATTTTCTGTAAGAGTGGAAGGAAATGGCCTACATCTCTGCCGTCCAGCATGACAGCCACTAACCACACATGGTTATTTAGCATTTGAATTATTATTATCTCACTGAGGTACATTTTTTTTTTTTAATTTCAATTTGAATAGGTCCATGTGGGTAGCGGCTACTGTACTAACAAATAGCTGTGTTAAGGATTGCTGTGGCACACAAGGTGGCTGGTCAGAGTGTAGAATAAATAAGCAAACACATGGAAATAAGACCAGGAGCCCAGTGGGGGAATGATATCCTGACCATACAGTATGACACTGAGCTAATTCATCTACCTGCTTTAGTGACAAATGACTGCTATGCAACCAAAACTAACCCAAATCATCCTCTAGATCCATCTTCTTGATCTAGTCCTGTGTTCCTTGTCCACTTTCTGATTTAGTTTCCTAAATAAATTTTCCTATAGGGTGAAAAATGCCCAGACATATACATGCCCAGAATTAACAGGCTATCTGGCTCAAACAGTGTGTATTGGGACCTGGTTAGTACAAACAAGACCTCAAAAGGAGTATTGCAGGGTCCTTTGCTAAGAAGCCACAGTGGACAGAAAGCCGGAGAGAATGGAATCAAAGAGGCCTATATTCACTGGGCTCAGTCACAGAGTAACTCTGGTACCTTGAGAACATTCCCGGATGCCTCAGTGCTGGGGCTTCTTCTCTGCTGAGGTGAGAAGGCAGCATCTGAGACAGGTTTAATCCTGTGTTTAGATTTGGGGATGCCCCATCAGGTTCCTAGCCTATTCAACTAATGACATTGTTAGTCTACAGAAGGCAACACAAGTCAGAGACTTGGTGACCTACAAGTCTGCTAGGGGACAAGGTGGTGAAGGGGCATTTTAGAAAACCGAAGTCTCTTACCTTTGCCACAGGCAGCTTTCAAAAAGAATTCACAGACAGCAGCCCCCGACTCTGTAAAAAGAAAGGGAGCAGCATCAACCAAAGCAAAGTGCTATTTGCAATGACTGAACAAGGGTTTATTCTGGCCTTTGACCTAGGGTACAGGAAACATTAGCAAAAGATGCAAAGCCCAACCAAGTCAGGCAAAAACCACTTATTTCAGTCATTCCCTGCAAAATGAGACATGCACATTGAGACAGAGCATCAGTCAGTGCTGAGAACCTCCTGGAAGTGACCTTTCAAGGTATTAGAAGCTGAAGAGTGGCTTTTCCTCAGATGCCACCCAGGTACATGGTCCTTCCCAGGAAGCAAAG